TTTGTGATACAATTTTTTGTTTGGGTGGTGCATCTAGTGTTGCTGGGGCTCCCTCTGTTCTTTGCTGAGGGTTTACCTTGGCCAAGTCTCCTGATTCATTTAGATTTAAGGAAAGAAATCTCTAAATTGTAAGGAGGAAGAATACTTCCGAGACTGCTAGTTATAGTAGTAGGATACAACGTGCCAGTGTAACCCAGTCACCATACAATGCAGTAGTCTTAGACTCATAGGTCAAAGAGGTTTCTTGGGCAGGGTACTTAATTAACTGTGGCAAAGTCACTCTTGTTAGTGCTCTGTGAAGCCTTGTATCTCTGGTTGTGGATGTGCATGCAGCCTCAGGCCCATAGGGAAGGGGTTTCCTAGGCTTGCCAATTGTTCTGACAAAACCATTTGTACCTCACATTTTATTATTTGTAAAATAGGGTTGGTAATGCAACCTTAGAAGATTTATGGAGTACTTAAGTCCATGAAAATAGGGATTTTTGTGTGATTGGTTCAATCATTTAGTCACACTATCTAGAATAGCATCTTAGCATACAGTAGTCACTTAATGAATGCTTCATGAATTAATATAACAAAGGTGAGTGTCAATTAATCAATCAATTTATTAGCTAATTCTTAGTAAATATAAGCTAGCTGCCGCCATTCCCTTTTCTAGCAAGTGAATGAGTAAGGAGTCAGGCTCAAGTCTTCTGATTCTAGTACTCCAAATATTGCAAAACTTGGCTTTCCATAAGAGCAATACTACAGTTCATTCATTCATTAAGGATTTACTATGTGCTAGGCCTGGTGACAAATACTGCATACACACATATTCAAGATACACACACACACACACACACACACACACACACACACACGCTCATGAACATATTCATTTTAGGTTAATTTTTTTGCATTCAGTTTTAAAATTTTAGGGATTGCTTTATTTTCAATTTAATCTTTTGTACTTAATGTAACATATTTGCAATCTGTCAAATTCAATTCTATAAAATAAAGTGCATATTAATGAAGGTCTCATTGTCCCATTCATCATATTTATCTCTTTGCCTTGTAGGTAATTCTCCTCCCTGTTTTCTTTTTTTGTTTGAGATTGGTGCTTTATCCTTCTATTGTTTGTGTGTATATGTATGTGTGTGTGTATACATGCATGTGTTTGTGTGTGTGAAATTGGAACAGCCTACTCCTTTTTTTGGATGAAAGCACACTTGATTTCACTTACTATGTCTATTAGATCTTTCCATTGTAGATAGTCCATATTTCTTTTTATAGGTACAAAATACATCATTATATGTGTTCCACAGTTTATTTAATTAAATTATTTTTTATTGTAACAAAATTTTTATTTTGGGATAATTGTAGACTCACTTACAATTATAAGAAATAATAGATATCTTGTGTATACTTTTCAATTTTCCCCTCTGGTAACATATTATATAACTAGATTACAATACCACAACCAGGATATTGATATAGATAGTCAAAATACAAAATATTTCTATAAGACAAAGTTACCTCATGTTGTCTTTTTATAGCCACACCCATGTTCCCTAACTTCCATCTCCTCATCATTAACCACTGAAATCCTCTGTGACCTTGTCTGTCATTTTGAGATTTCATAAATAGTATATATGTGGAATCATACAATATACAACCATTTAGGATTTTTTAACTCAGCATAATTCTCTAGATATTAATCAGATTTGTTGCATGTTTCAATAATTTGTTCTATGTTGTTTTAGAATAGTACTTGATAGTATAGATGCATCACAGTTTGTTTAACCATTCACTGAAGGATATTTGAATTGTTTCCACTTTGGGACTATTAGGAACAAAGCTACTATGAACATTTCCATACAGCTTTCTGTATGACCTTAAAAAAATCATTTCTGTAGAAATGACCAAGAATGTAATTTGGTTTATAGTAGTTTAGGTTTTAGTTTTTTAACTTTCATGCTGGCTGTGCACAGTGGTGCACACCTGTCTTCCTAGAGCCTGAGGAGGCTTAGGCAGGAAGATTGTTCAAAGTTCAAAGCCAGCCTCAGCAATGTAGCCAGACCCTGTTTCAAAATACACATATAAAAAAGGGCTGGGGATGTTGCTCAGTGATTGAGAACTTTATGTATGTCAGATAGTGTCTTTTGTTGTATACATGGTTTGCAAATTAAATTCTTTTTTAAAATGATGGTGGGGATTGTACCCAGGAATATTCTTCCTCTGAGCTGTGTCCCCAGCCTCTTTATTTTATTCTGAGAAAAGATCTTGCTAAGTTTCTGAAGTTCATCTAGAGCTTGTGATCCTCCTGCCTTAGCCTCCTGGTTGCTGAGGATATAAATCTTAATCTGAGATACAAATGTATGTATTTTCTTAGTTAATTATTTGATTTTTATTTTGCTTATTAAATACTTGACCTCCAAAAATTTCTCTAAATTTTACGTAACTAGGTTTATCTATCTTTCCCTTATGGATTCTGGACTTTGGGGTTATAGTTAGGATGTGTTTCTTCATTTTCATATTAAGGAGAAGTTTGCTTATATGTTGCTTTCAGTACTGTTGGTTTTCATATTTTATTTGATTTTACTATACTGGGAATTAAACCTAGGGGTATTCTAAAGTGAGTTATATCGCCAGACCTTATGATTTTTGTATTCTGAGACAGGGTCTCCCTGCTATGTTCAGGCTAGCCTTGAACTTGCAGCCCTCCTACCTGAGCTTCCCAAGTTGCTGGGTTTACATTTGTGAGCCACCATACATTGTCATTTTTTATATTTAAATAACTGATGCATCTGAAACTTTTTCTTCTTTAGAGTGTGAAGAATGGATAAAAATTTATTGGTTTTTCCATGGCCATCCAGGTATTCAACACAACATTAAAAAGTTCAGCTTTATTCAATTGATTTGAGGTACTCCCTTTGTTCATTTGTTCCGCTTATATAATGTTAACATGTTTATCAGTCAAGTAGCACTATTTCCTATTTTATTTACAAGACAATTGAGCACCCCCCCCCATTGTCTGAGGTCATATAGCTGGTCATTGATAGAAGTGAGAGTTAAAACTAAATCTCTCTGACCCTAGATCAAACCATTTCATCATTACACTGTATTTCTTATTGCTTTCATTCTAGCACACTCTGTAGATGATATAGGCAGCTAATTATGATTCAAATTCTGCATATAAGGTATCAGAGGTTCCAAGAAACTCCTTATCTCCTCAAGAAATCTAGACTATAAGCAAAATGCTGAGAACCTATGTTATACTTTCTGATATGCATCAAATTTGGGTTATGGTAGATGGGATCATTGTGAAGGGGGTTGTGAGGCATTTAGAAAGGCCAGAGTGGGCAAATAAAAGCACAGCATGGCAGGAATGTTTAGAGGCTGGCTGATGCTCTATTTTTCCAACTAATAGGAAGATAAAATGTATCTATCCTATTAGTTCAGATAATGCTAGCTGCTATAACAACCGATTAAGAGTTTATTATTGATTCTAACTGTAATCTTTGTTAAGAGTGATAGACTTCATCTAAGTCATTCAGGAATCCAGACTTATGAAGGCTTTCATTTTTCTAACAGCTTTATTGAAATATAGATTATATACCATACAATTTACCCATTTATTTGATATATTGTGTTATTGATTTTTAATTTTGATAAAATAATTTAACATAAAATGTGCTATTTAACCTTTTTAAATGTACAATTCAGTGACATTAATCACATGCATAGTGCTGTGAAACCATTATCACTATCTATTTCCAAAACCTTTTTATCACTCCAAACAAATTCAGTATCCATGAAGCAATAACTTGAGAATGAGCTATGGCTGTTATCAGGCTGCAGCCTTGTTCCTATTGAAGTTAGGCTGTCAGAGCTGGAATAGTCTTTAAAGACTGACTACTTCAATCTTTTCAGATGTTGGAGCCTCTGATGCCCAGAATGTATGTGTGTTTTAGGGTTTGAAGATGCTGGCCAGAGTCAGAGTTGATTCCACAGCTGAAACAAGAGCCAGCTAGATCTTACAACTGGCGTTCAAATATCTTTGTACTATGAGCTAGAGTAAATAATAATTTTTATCACAATTCAACATATACTTACATATATTTTATCTGTGAAAGTTTTATAAATCAATGATGGTTAGTAATTTCAGCTATTTGTCAGATATTTCCGGTTCCCCACCTTCTGGCACATTGTAGAATTGCACTTTCTCATAACCTTTGTAATTACTAATTATAAATTGATATGTGTGGCCTAGGACAAATGAGCAAAAGGAGATGGGCCATTTTGGTGGGGGAAAATTTTAAAAGCCAGTTCACAATTCACAATGGTCTCTCTCATTTGTTGTTCCAATCATGGCAGCACAAAGATGAAGCCTCTGTTACCCTGGGTACCCTATGGAGTAGAGCAGAGCCCTTGAGAAATTCCTGGTGGCAGATAGTGTGAATAGGAAATAAACTTTTATTCTTTTTAAAAATGTTTTTATTAGTGTATTATAGTTATACATAATATTGGGTTTCATTTTGATGTAATCATACATACATGAAATATTGTTTGTTCCACTTAGGTTCTTCTAAGACACCGAGATTAGTATATACCAAAGTATATACTAGCCTATGCTGACTAATATAAAATACACAGTTTTACAACAAGCTATGTTCTATAATATTTCATATTATTATTCTATTTTGTTCTATTTCAATTTTTTAATGTTTTTTAGTTGTTTATGGACCTTTATTTAATTTATTTATTTATATGTGGTGCTGAGAATTGAACCCAGTGCTTCTCACATGAGAGGTAAGCACTCTACCACTGAGCTACAACCCCAGCCCTCTACTTCAATTTTTAATGATAGATGCAACCTAGTAAAAATTTTTATGATCTAATAATGGGATTGCAACTAGCAGTTTGAAAAATGCTACTCTATACCATGTTCACTTGTTTCAGAGCTGATCCCTTCTCCAAGATCCTATATAGCAATGTTGATGACTCCCATCTGTCTGCAGGATTGTGGTTATGGAGAGGGTGGAGATGCATACTGTACAGCTTGCCCTCCTCGAAGGTACAAAAGCAGTTGGGGCCATCACAGATGTCAGACTTGCATTACCTGCGCCATCATCAATCGTGTCCAGAAGGCCAACTGTACAGCTACCTCTAATGCAGTCTGTGGGGACTGTCTGCCCAGGTAAACCCACTATATTGGGCCAAGCTCTTCTGAGCCTTTTTTTTAGCTCTTCTGTTTCTCTCATCCTTTCTTTGAGAATCTAGTTGAAGCATTCTCTCATACTATATTCTACTTAAGTTCCCCCAAAAGAGAAAGAGTGTCTTCCTAGGATCCCTATATAAAGTGCCCAGCACATTGTTAATCTTGGATGAATTAACAGTGTTTTTCATCATGTTGGCACTCTTAGCACAGATCAAGGTTTAAAGTAAATTTCACTGTAGATTTAAGTCACAAAGCAATTGATATCAAAGCAGTGCTCCTCGTTCTTGTGACATTAGCTGTCCTTTTGACTAAATGGTCTGATTAATGGTGGAAGAGGTAGGGTTTCTGGGCCTCAGTGAACAACAAACATGGAGGCAAAGAGCCCATAAAGAGGTATTGGTACTGGCTCCCAAGAAGAACTACTCTAAGTGCATTGCTTATTTCAACACTCTGCCATACTTTATGATCTGACTACAGGTTCTACCGAAAGACACGCATTGGAGGGCTACAGGACCAAGAGTGCATCCCATGCACAAAGCAGACCCCCACCTCTGAGGTTCAGTGTGTGTATCCACTTCTCTTTTCCTTTTCATTAAATCATTATGTGACAGCAAGTTAGGATACTAAAGACTTATCTTTTATTCCTGGAGGGAATGAATACCCCTTCATGCTCCTTCCTGTGGAGTGTCATAGCAAGGCAATCAGTTAGGTTTGAATGCTGGTTTTGCAACATTATATATATGTAAACTTTCACAAATCATTCAAACTCAGTAAAGGTCATTTATATCATCTGAAAAAAAATGTGACTCATTATAAATTGTTTTTCTACATACCTTTTGGGATAGTTTTCTTGGTTTAATGAAATAATAGATGTTTAAAAACACTTTATAAATTATAATATTTAATTGTAAATTATTATTATTATTATTATTATTATTATTATTATTCAAGGTGTATAGGAGTCTCTAGATCTTAGGAATCATCAGAAGCTAAAATAAAGAAAGTCTAGACTATGTCTGTATCTCTATCAATTTTTATCTGTTTGTGTGTCTAGATATGGCATGGAAAGACCATAGGATATGTACATCTTCAGTTAATTGTATTAATTTATACCATGCCTGCAGTATATGTGAGTTGTTCTGTTTTGATCTTTAAAATTTCCCTGCTCTACAAAGAAGTAAAACCAGCATCCTTAATTGGGAAAGGCCTTAGGGAGAGGGTGATGCCTTGAAGAATTCCAGGACCAGTGTCAGGATGACTATTAACTCCCCACAGTGACTGACTTGCCCCGTATTTTTGTCTCACAGGTGCCTTCCAGTTGAGCTTAGTGAAGGCAGATGCACCCACAGTGCCCCCTCAGGAGGCCACACTTGTTGCACTGGTGAGCAGTCTGCTAGTGGTGTTTACCCTGGCCTTCCTGGGGCTCTTCTTCCTCTACTGCAAGCAGTTCTTCAACAGACATTGCCAGCGTGGTAAGGGTGGCTGCTTCACATTTGACATGAATCAGAAATAAGATTCTTATTGATAGAAAAGAGGAATTTTCTGGGGTTGACAGTTAATGGGCTTTCCTTTCCATGCTGAAAAACCCAGGGATGGCCTTGGAAACTATATTAGATGGCATGGAACTTTAAAGGTGACTGAAGAGAACCCTAAGAGTTTAGGGGACCTGGTTTATTAAGTTCCAGGCATTCATAACAGAGCATGACATAATGGTAACTGAACCCCTTGGAAAAAGAATATGGAAAACAAGTTTCTAAATCTACCTCTGAATCACTGTTGTAACATTAAATAAGTCATCTAGATTTTTGGGGTCTCTTTCTCCCTAATCTCGAAAATGTGAGGTATGATTGGACTAGTTGATTTTTAAGTTCTCCAATTCTGCTTATCTATACTAATAAATGTGGGAAAGGTCTAGGGTAACTGCAACCAGTGTGATAATTTCCCAAAATGAGGTAGCAGAAATGCAGTGTGTAATTTTCAGATTTAAACTTATTTTTCCTAGACCATGCTGGTACCTAATGAGATCTACCCCAGCCTACAGGAGATGGCCATGTGAAATTCCAAATAGAAGGTCATATTTAAAGTCCCAATAACACTGTTATCTGTTTTCAGCACAAATTCACCCTTTAGCCAATAATGTGGGACTTAATTATGTGGGCAAATATGGAGGAGGTGAGATGGTGACTGGTCAGGATCAAGCAAGATATTAGAAATCCAGCCAAGAGCTGAACATTGGACATATGGTTGTAATCTCAGCAATTTGGGAGGCTGAGGCAAAATGGTCACATGTTTGCGGCCAGCATCAGCAACTTAGCAGGGCCCTAAACAATTTAATCTCAAAATTAAAAAAAAAATTAAAAGGGCTGGAGAAGTAGCTTAGTAGTACAGTTCCCTTGGCTTCAATCCCCAGTTCCAAGAAAGAAAAAAAATAAAGAAAAAGAAATCCAAACCATGGTTTAGTACAGCTTCAGTGCTAAGCAGGGACACCAAAAGTGGAACTTAGAACTAGTGAATGGTATTGAGTTAGTAAGGGGGAAGATAAAGTTTTCTGGATACTAGATGCTCAGGACTTCTCAGCCCCTTGATACTGGACTCAAAGCAATACTACTTTTTTTTTTTTTACTCTATGTATATTGGAAAATCTCCCTTTTATAGGGTGTCTGTGGTCAATTTGGCTGTGGGGACTGCCAATTATCTTGAAAAAGACCAATAGTTATACTTGGCTGAGCCCCTGGCTTAAGTAGAGACAATTCTAGCATTTAACAGGCTGCAGTGTTTCTCTGTTGTCTCTTCATAACCATTGTGAAGCTCTACTTCAAATTCCTCTTCTCTCTGGTAGCTCCTAGGCATTGTGGCTCAGGGTGAACAATTCTCTCTCTGACTTCAGAATCCAGTGTCTCAAATAAGAGTGGTTTCCCAATCCCTGAGCATGAGCATGAAACAAAGGCAATAAGGCATTTGGTCCCCAGGTCTCAGCAATATGGAATATGAAGGAACATTTCAGAACTGCCTGTCTCCGTCCACCTCCTTCAGGAGAGAAATAATGAGTGACTCTCTTCTGTTCCTCTTCTATCTCTAAGATAATAAGGTGGTACTCTTCAGAGAATATGAAAGAAGGCTGCTTCCGTATTCATGGTTTCCATAAGGGGAAGGAAGGCTAGGATTTCCTCATTCAATGAAGAATTATCAGCAGTCACACACTTATGTAGTGAGGTCAATGTGTGAATTAGATCCAATATAAGGTGCAAGACAAATGGGCAGGAGCTTTAGGAATTGTGCCCTCTCTAAAAGGAAATCCACTACTCAGCTCCAGCTCTTTCTTACCATGTGGGACTATTCAATATGGTAAAAAGCCTTCCAAATTTTCAAGAGAATACAGAAATCCAGAATTTGGTATATGAAAATCATGTTAAATAAGCTCCTAATGTTAAATCATACTCATACATGAAAGGCGTACTATTTTTCTGTCATTGCCATAATAAATTACCCCACATTTATTGGATTATTATCTCATAGTTTACATAGGTCAACAGTCTTGACTGGGCCTCACAATAAATAAAGATGCTGGAAAGGCTGTGTTCCTTTCTGGTGGTTCTAGGGGAGAATCAGTTTCCTTAATTATTTAGGCAGATGACTGAGTTTGGTTCCCAGCAATTATAGAACTGAGGTTCCATTTTCTTGCTGGCTATAAGGTGAAGAGCATTCCTAACTTCTAGAGGCATAATCACTTTGACACATGGACTCCTTCTATTATTAAAACTAGCAGTGGTGGGGTGAGTCCATATCTCTCTAATACTCTCTTTGTCACTTCTGCCTCCTTCTCCTGCTTTTAAGGACATGTAATTAACCTTGGACCCATCTGGGTAATCCAACATAATCTCCCTATTTTCAAGTCCATCATCCTAATTCTATCTTCAGAGTCCCTATTGCCATATAATATAATTTCACAGACATAACACCCAGGGATAAATATAATGGTGGGGCAAGGTTTGTCAAAATTTATTTTCCACAAAGTATTTCTTATTCTCTGAACAATTGATTCATTTCTCTAATCCAGAACCAGGTAGCCTCTATCTGATACCGCAATGTAAGTATATGTCTCAAGTGTGTCACCTCAGTCTGATGCAAGGTGCTCTGGTCTCCAGGGAGGGGAAGGTGGACACTGGCTCCCAAATCCCCTCCTGCTCTTGTGCTGAGGACCAGATGCCTTGCTGAGAAGAGACCCTGCTTTTTGGTGACCCAGTTTTCTGCTTCGAGTTGCAGGAGGTTCGTTGCAGTTTGAGGCTGACGAAGCAGTGGAGGAGGAATCTCTTTTCCCCGTGCCACCTGGCCAGGAGACCAGTCCTGAGTCCCCAGTGAGTGAGAGCATCTTTGAGACCCAGCCACTTAACCCCATCCTGGATGACGACTGCAGCTCGACTCGTGGCTTCCCCACACAGGAGTCATTTACCGTGGCCTCCTGTGCCTCAGAGAGCCACTCCCACTGGGTCCACACCCCCATCGAATGCACAGAGCTGGACCTACAAAAGTTTTCCAGCTCTGCCTCCTGTACTGGAACCGAAAACTTGGGTGGGAATACAACTGACAGCGTTGGAGACAGGCGGGAGCTCAATGTGCCCTATGAAGTTCCTAGCCCTTAACTCTACTGAGGTGAGCTGGAAAGGTGGAGCAGAAAAACCGGAATTAGGGGCCACCCTTAATGAATTTGCCATGTACTACTATCATTAAATAGGGCTAGGGGTAGAGAAGCAGCAAGCTAGGGACATTGGTGGGTTTATATGCAATAAGAGTGATACTGTTTTCAGCCAGTCAGATGTCATTTGTGAGCTTACAATTGTCAGGAAACTGGCCAGGTTGTCATGACACCAGTCTCCATCCTAGCATTTTTTTTCCAAGCTCTCTCAGGACCTCACTATCTAATAGTCATAGTTATCATCCCTCATGTGAACAAGCAGCATGGTACGATAGAAAAAATATATATACAAGCCTTTTCATCTGGCAGCCTTATATTTCAAATCAACATCCATTCCCTACTAGCTACATGAACTTTGTAAAAATTTTTTTCCATCTGTGAGTCTCAGATTTTTCATCTATAAACAGTGGAAAGTACTATCTACTTTGTAAGTTATTGTGAGGGTTGGATTAAAATCATATGTGCAAGTACCTTTTACAGTGTCTGATGCATTAGAGATATTTCAGCCATGTTAGTTTTTCTTTCTCTCACTGCCCCCAGTCACAATTTATATATATATATATATATATATATATATATATATATTTTCCTTCCATATCCACTACATTTATCTGATCATCATAACATCAATCCTTTGTAGTAAGCGGATCAGACTATCTTAGCCTCATTTAACAGAGGCAGAAACAGAGACAAAGAGAGGAGAAGTAATTTTCTCAAATTCATAAGAGCAATCCAGTGTCAGAACTAACTAAGCTAGAGCCCAGGTTGAGGGGTCCATTCTAGAGCTCACCCTACTCCACCATTATAACTAATCTCAAGCCAATGTTGCTTTTTCATAGGCTTAAGTATGGGGCAGGAGGATGGGTATATTTCTAATTTTCAACTAATCAACTACTTTTCACCACTAATTTCCATATTTCTTCAGTTAATATATTGCCAAGTCTGCTATGACTTCCTGTTCCCTACATCCAACCTAAAAATGTGAATAATGAATATTTAAAAGCTTTGACTGGTATAAAACCAGTCAGCCTTGATACCTTTAAGATCATCCAGTTCAGTTTTCCCTCTAAGGTGTTCAATCCATTATTTTTTATAATACAGGTTGAGTATCTTTTTTCCAAAATACTTGGGACTGGAAGTGTTTCAGAATTTGTTTTTTTTTTTAATTTGGAATATTTTCACATATATAATAAGTTATCTGGGAATGGGACTAAAATCTAAACCAAAAATCATTTATGCTTCATATATGCCTTTTATGCATAGCCTGAAGGTAATTTATACAGTATTTTTAGTGTGCCTGCATTTTGACTATGACTTGTCACTTGATATCAAGTGTGGAATTATCCATCCAATTCTGGTGTCATGTAGGTGCCCAAAAAATTTTGAATTTTGATGCATTTAAGATTTTGGATTTTTGGATTTGAGATGTTAAATCTATTCTTCCACCAAAAGTATATGTAGTCACCTTACTTGCAATGTCAGAGAGTTCACTACCACCAAATGTGTGGTTCACCTATGACTGATAAATTTGAAACAAATATAAAGAAAAAAAAAAAACCTTTCTCTTTCCCTGTTGTACTGGTCCTAGCTCTGTTTCATGGGCCACACAGACCTCATCTACTTCTTCTGCATTGTTATCCCTGCAGAAGCCCAAATGTAGCATTTTTGCCCTGGAAGGTACCACTTTAGGTTCCTCTTAAGTATGTGCAGATTAGAACTAAACTCAGTTTCATGAAGGATGGTCTCACCAGTTTAGAACAGGGTAGAATTAGATTAGTGATGCATTTATGTGATTGTATCCTAATTCACTGGTATAACCCATGATTTGGGTGAGGGGGATTGGGAGAGAAGTGAGCTAGTGAGATTCTCTCACAGGTTTCTAACTTGCTTTGCTATTTCCCTAGGTCTCTCATGCTCCTGAAAGCCTTGTCCAGTCATTCTTTGATTCTCCTGCCTTGTTCCTATACCACAACAGCTGCAGGGGCCTGGGATGTGGTATCTACAAATGGGGTATTTCCTACCCCCTACTACCAGCGGATTGATCCTGTACCATCTTCCCAGAACTGATGTGCACCATTTCTTGACTGTGTTTGAGCCTGGAGAGCCTGAATCCCCAGCCATGGAACTACTGGACATGTTCCTAGCTCAAATTGATTGTAGAGAAGAGGGGAGGGAATGACAGACAATGTATGTGGTAGGGTTTTTCTACCTGCATTTTTGGTCACATGGGCCTGAAGGAAGGACCTTTGAGAACTTTATTGTCATTTTCCTAGCACTTTAGGAGGAAAATGAAACCCTTTTCCTTCTAGATCCTCTGCACTGCCTCTCTCCCCAACACACACACACACACACACACACACACACACACACACACACACACATCTGGGAGGCCTGGTGCCATGATTCCCTAACTCACATCCTAAATTTCTGTACCTATGACAACTCTGGAGCCAGCACATTTGTCTGGGTCTTCCTCCTCACGAATAGGTCTCTAAACTTTTCTTCAGTGGAGATTCAAATCAGTGTGTTTTTGATTTTTAAAATAGACTTTCTTAAAATTCCTTTCAGTTTAATTTATCTTCTCTTGCTTCTTTTGTTCCTTTATGGGGCATGTTCTCTAGCTTCTCAGGGCCAAGTCAGAGCTCAGAGCTTTGGTCTTTGAGGTGACAGTGAAGTTCCTGAGGTCTGTGATAGGGCACTGCACTGAGGAGCTAAGTTTCTTAATGGGGCCTGGCCCTAGGGCAGCTCAAAGACCATTTGGTGCTTTCTTGGTTTAGAGAAAAGCCAGTCAGTTTCTCCTGTGTGTTCACCACCAGTTTCACATGCTTCTCAGCATGAAATGGAACTGCTTTCTCCATGCTTTCTAGTTGAACAGTGTAGATTAGACCCTCAGGACTCAGGTGTGAATACCATGGGTTTTAGTCTCCTCTAATGTCCCTATTGGGCCATTTGGACTGCTGTCCATTCCTTCACAGTGGGTCAGGTTTGAAAAAGAAAAGTGCTAAGTGAGTGAAGAACCTGGCTCTTTTCTTGGGAGCAGCATTTAGAGTTCAGGTTGTTGGAGGTTAACTTAATTAGCAAAAGTCAAGACTGAAGATAGAGCACAGTTATTCTGAGTTAAGAATGTTGAAATCCACTACATTAATGGGTGCTGCACTTAATATTTTGCAATTTGCTTTCATAGTCAACATCTCATTGGATCTTTACACAGACTCTGAGGTAGGCAAGGCAGGGATTATTATCCTCAATTTGCTAATGATGGAACTGAAACTCAGAGATGGAAAGTGACTGGTCTTAAGTTACTCAGTGACATAGGTGTGAATGTATAGACTAGAATTTTCATACCCTATCCAATATCTTGAAATCTTTATTTTCTAAAGGACAGTGGTTTTTGATAGGAAGATTTTTTTCCATATCTCTTCCAGCAAACAACTCTTTGGAAGGAAAAGTTCCTCATATCTGTATGAGAATGAAGTATGGTTATTGCCCACCATGCCAAGACTGACCTCCCCACTTAATGGCCAGTTTCCCCTATCTGCTACCACTAGCCTAGTACATTTTCTGCTTGGTCTGTTCCTAGTGAGAAGCCAAGACTTTAAATTTTGCACCACCGTTCAAAAACTCAGAAACTGAGAAGGGTTATAAGGCTAGACAGGACTGTTCCTGTTTGTCTTATCTTCTTTTTGCCCCTGAGGTATGGAAGGGAATAAAGGCTGGAGTCAGATTATTTTTAATCCTTCCACAAATAGATTGTGTATATTTAACCAAACCTATCAATAATAACACTTCTGTGCTTTAGAGTTTAAAAAGAATCATTCATATGTTATGAATATTTTAAAGATGACAAAACTGAGGCCCAGTAGTGCTTTACCCAGAATAATTCATTTTTGAGAAAGAGCTTGCCCTGCAAATTAACCCCCAGGCCCAAGTGTGGACCCCATGACTGAGAATGGAGGTCAGGGAAAGGCAAATAGAGCAGAAACTACTCTTGGATATAGCAGGGGGACAGGCAGGGTTATTGAATGGCCTCTTATGTTATTTCTGTTTGCCAACACTGCCTAAATGGCATAAGACTGGGGCAAGCTTCAGGAGATTGATTAAGGCAGCCAAACCCCACCACCAAGTAAGGCATTTGGCCCCATAGTCTGTTAAGTGCTACTAAGGCAGTAGTAGAATATTCTATTGAAAAATAGCACATGATTCACTTGTATCTTAATCCATCTGGACAGGATAGAGGAACTTTTAGCTTTTCTCTCCCTGTAACTTTCTCCCCCTGATGGTCTACAAGATTTTTTTCTGGCTTCTTCTGGGTCCCCTTAGATTCCTGGCATTCTCTGGGTTTTCTGAATGTTTGAAGAGCAATGGTACTGAGTTTGTAGCATAGGGCAGCACACACAATTTACCTCTTGATCTCCTGGGCCTCAGCCTATATTTGAGGTGCTATATCTCTCTACACCCAGCAGGGAGCAGGGCTGGAATTTGCCCACTTACAACTTTACATTTGTAACATTTCTGAGCCAAGGTGGCTTTCCTTCTGGTGCCTGGGTTCCTCAAACTACCTCCCAGCCATTCCCCAAAGACACTCCCAATTCATATAGGCTGAGTGAGGAGGGGAAAGTGACCCAACTCCCTCTTTGTATTGATATGTTAATCAGATCCCAGCTGTCCCAGCACTCTTTTCCATTTGATACTTTTTTGAAATGTCTTTTTTCTTTAGTTCCCACCTACACATCTCATGATCAGAGAAGCATGCTCCTTTGAAGGTTGTATTATTCTTCGTTACCTGAGAATCTTTCTGAAGCTTGTACAGCTAGTTCCTATTCCACAAGTACTTAGTGGTTAATTCAGTACCTTTAGGCAGAATGTGCACTTCATCACCAGGTCCTAGCCCTGACAAAGAGTGTTCACTACAGCAATACTACTTCTATGATTTTATTAAATGCACCTTTGAGAACAGTCCATCTACAAACACTGATTAAGGGCCCCTTGGCAGCCCATTGATCAGGGTGCTAAAAGCACCTAGGTGAAAGCAAAGAGGTCCCATTGTACTGGATGGAGGATTAGAAGCAATTGAATTTCAAGTCTGCACCAAGCAGCCTGGCCTCACCCAGGTATTAACAAATATGTGTGAGCCATGGTTTAGACCTTGGCCTTTAGGTTCTCTGTTCTCTTTTTCTGGGACAGTTTATTCTTATCTCACTGGCTTTAATTAGTCATGTCTACACCTTCTTGTAGGGGAAGAACTAGTACCCAAACAGAGGGTGATTCAGCCTAAACAGGTCCCAGGTGTTTAAAGGTCACCATATGCCTGGTAGTGGTTCAAGCCCAAGTCTAACACTGCCACTCTGTGAGAAAGATAGAAATTATAACACAATAATATTAACAGTCACCCTACTTCACTGTCCCTGCCCATAGTCTGAACATTGTATGACTATACTAGAATCACCTTGACACCTTGATTCCAATTTTCTGAAATTTAACAATTGGATTTAGCAACTGGAATGGGACAATTAAGTTTTTTTTTTTTTTTTGCTCTGCTTTTTAAGGTATATTGGATAGACATGAAGTGAAGGATTTTTTTCTTTATAATTGCTATTTGGCCACAGCCAATATTACATTTGGGTGTTTGGTCCAAGATAGTCCTTTTAAAGGACTATCTTGTTCATTGTTTTTAAAGCAGAAGCATCTTTGAGCACTATACTTTTTTAAAAAAATTTTTTAGTTGTAGATGGACATAACATCTTTATTTTGTTTGTTTACTTTTTTTATGTGGTGCTGGGGATCAAACCCAGTGTGTCACATATGATAGGCAAGCACTCTACTGCTGAGCTACAACCCTAGCGCCTGAGCACTATGCTTTTTTATATTTTCCACTTGAGGGTTGTTGGTCAGTGAAAGCAAAAAGTGCACATGATAGAATCATTTTCAATATACCCCAATCCTAGACAATAGTTGAGTTGTCCATATTTTAAGTAGCAAAGAACATTGGTTTTTGTTTGTAAAGGAGAGGGAAATGTTTACTGTCAAAGAGTAGGCATTTTTGATTGATGTGGATTTTGACCAGAAGTAGTCTGTGAAAGGAACTTTTTTGCCTCCAAGTTTCTCAAATCCAGGCTTGGTAAGGGTGTCTAATACTATAGCACTATTCTCGCCAACACACAGCCCTGCCACACTGAGATCATCAAACCTTCTGTTCCCCTCCTACTCCCCACCTCACTACCAAGTTCTTCAGTGTTTTATATTGAATGTAGGTTCATTTAAATTACCTTTTCCCTCATGAATGAGTTATTTATAGAGATTTTGTTAAATCTTGAGCCATATGCATGTGTGGATATTGGCAGGGTTGTGTTTGATTTATGATACTGTGCAAACATTTCATATTATCCAATAAACAAAAATACATACAAATATCTTGTTTATTCCTCTGCTTTCAGTAAACCAGGGTTTCTCATTTGGCTGGTATGTCTTTGCTCAATGACTACAGGGAAAAATGTGTTTTTGATCACTGGATATAGCACCAAGAGTAGTAGGATTCACTGAATTGTCACCCAGGAGATTTGGGTTATAGTCCAATCTCTCATTTATTTTATTTTTTGATTGTTTATGATATTTAGATTCTTGTCTGGGCCACAAATCTACTAGAAACTCTTGTTGTTTAAACCAACAGTTATCAAGCAGTTTTTCCTAGCCCTAAAAGGACTGTATACCTATCTTCTGAGGTCTTCAAGATCTCTAAGAGTTTTTTTTTCATATTTGAGTAGGTTTTCATTTTGATCATACTATTTAAAAAATCACAAGCTTATTCTATATAGAGAACTGCATTTTTATTTCAGGGCAAAATGTGTTTACAATCTCATTGAATCCAAGGGACCACTAAAAAAGCCTCATTTAATTTTGAATGCTGTGCTTTATTATAATTTTATCTAAGAACTAGAAAAAACAAGTTTCCTCTCATGTTTAATATTCTCTGATCTTGACAACAAAGCATATTGATAAGGATGTGGGGAAATGAGAATCCTCATACATTGCTGGTGGAATTTCAAAATGGTACAGCCACTTTTGAAAATAGTCTGGTAATTTCTC